ATATATATATTAAATAAAACACATGCATAAAATTGCATATAAAAAATATAAGATTTTTACTTAGATTCAATTTATATCTGTGATTGTTACTCTGTATAGGTTATGAGTATTCTCCATCATTCCAAATACTTTTCTCATATTGTTCAATTGTTTACTACATTAATGTATATTTTGTAAATCTTCATTTTAATCCTGCAATTTACTGTGTTTATCATGTCACACCACCGCTTGTACATTTCGAATATGAACTGGAGGGCACTGCTCGCTATCGCTCGTTAATTCCAATAATTGTAACGCAATTAACTTTTGTTTGGTTCGTAATAAATTATTTTATCCAGAATTTTTTGCAGTGTTGGTATAAAGCAGTTTTTCAACGAAAGTTTAAATTATTTACTTATGTATGTACTAAAAAGAATTGCGTTTGATTACGGAAAATAGAAAAAACTGGTTCAAAAAACCTTTCCTTCCAGCATTTTTCTCGAGGAAAATAAATTGTCTCAATCTAGAATTTTTTTTAACGATTATAGCATATATGTAAAACTACCTTCACTGCCATCTCCGCAAGCTTTGAGCACCTCCCTCTAATCAGACTACAGCGCGATCTCCGCTTCTCATAATTAAATATTTTTCTAAACTGTTTATAAATTCATTTAATAATAAATAAATTCTGTGACTTCTCTAACTTACTAATTACCCGTTTTTTGTATTTAATTTGTTATTTGTTTTATGTTGTTCTATGGTTGTGTTGTCATTTCCTTTCTTCTTTTTCCCTTTACTTAAAATTAACTTCTAATTTAACTAACCAACTAATTTTAACTCATAAGCATTAATTCAATAAATGTTACACAATCTACTGAGGTGGCCTCATTGGCCAGGTACTCCATCTCATATTTTATTAGTTTCTGAAGTTTTCCACGGAAAGTAGTGTTGAATATTTGAAAAAAAAAAAGTATATATTGACTCCTCCTAAAGATTAGCTATAACTGATATGGTTTTACTACCAGCTATTTTTTTTCCCCTCTTGCCTTCCCCCCTAGTTTGGAAACGGTGTTAATATAATACACTTTCGGACAAAACTCAGAAAAAATGAAAAAATAAATAAATAATAAAACTGTTTCATGAGACGGTTGCAAATTTGAAAGATTTTAATTTTAAGAATGAAGTAGACCAGATTTCTGCCGTGCGAATTAAACAGCAATAATATATAATATCGCTATATAATAATAATTTTTAATACAATAATATCGCTATAATAATACATAGAAAAAATTATATGGTACATGGGCCACCGGCTAGAATGAACACCTCACATCTCCGGCGCATGGACATTCGAACATTCTACAATACTCCAGGCATATCTCGCAGGCAGCTACTGCGATTCTTGCAAACAGCATTATCAACAGGGGTGTCATAAACCAGTGTTTTCATATGACTCCAGAAATCAAGACATGATAGGTCGGGTGACCGAGGAGGCCATATAATTTTTTCAATGTATTATTATAGCGATTTTTCATTTATGGTCTCTTTTCTTTATGGTGCTTCTGTGTACGTCACCGCTTCAGGAAAGCATTTCCGACCCCACATTGCTATATAATTTTGAGTCGTCAGGATGCCCCCTACCCCTCTTAGAAGTTCTGAAACGCTTAACTGAGACACCCTGTATAAAAAATCTCAATTTTGAATTTTTTGTCGCTTACGTTGATTTTTCTTTTGCAACATTCTTTTTTAACGTTGATTTTTTTTTATCCTCTAGATACATTTCTTTTATTATAAAAGAAATTCTGATTGATAGGAAATAGCAAAATCATTTGCCCCTTCAATCTTTCGCCTGTTTTAAAAATTTCTAGGTAGCTACTGCTCGTGTAGGTTTGTTGATCAAATGGTAACGCCTACTTTTTTTATCGTTGCTTTACTATAAAGTTTTGCTGTCCGTTCATCTCATGCTATGCCCTAAAACTACAACGGAATTAACTTACAACGGAAATGACAAGTCTATATCATAAATATTTGTGTACTAGAGCTATGATAAAAGACTTAAGGAATTTGCATTAGTTTAAAAATTTCTATTTTAATTTTAATTTCTATATTCAGTACCGATGGGAAAAAATGTTTCTTAGGACACTTGTAGCCGATCACGCGGTGTATGAAA